CAAAATAAACAAGTAAAAGAGAAATAGACTCATAGACACAGACAGCAGACTGGTATTGCCAGAAGAAAGAGGTTTTGGGGAACCGGGTAAAAGAGGTAAAGAGATTAAGAAGTACAAATTGGTAATTACAAAATAGCCACAGGGATGTAAAGTACAGTATAAGAAATATAGTCAATAATATTGCACTGGAAATATTGGGGAAGCACTTTGTCAAGTATATGGTTGTCTCATCACCATGTTGTATACTTGAAGCCAATATAAAATATATAATGGAGGCAAACAGTAATTAAAAAAGTAAATAATGGATATAGAATCACTTGAATATTGTATGCTACTCTGCATCTAATAGCCCAGTAACTATTTGTCTAAAACTATTCCTAGTTTATTTTGCTTGAAATGGTTAACTTATTTAATCTCTATCAATATTCAAAGCAATATCACCTATGTATCTGTCCACAGTAATAAGGAAACTAGCTATATATCACTGGTTTATTAATTTTGTCATATTCAAGCATCATATTTTAAACTCAGACTAAAGTAAACCATTTTTACCATTTTCTTTTTGCTTTTATTTCTTTTTCTGTTTAAAGACTCCACCTATGCCTTTCAAAATTTTTCTACAACTTCAGGAAGATGAAAAAAATAAAAACTAACCACTCTCTAGGTACTTTTATTGTTGTAGTTATAAAATAATCTAAAATAATCAAATGTCTTCATGAGAAAAATCAGCAATGAACAAACTATTAATATGATGCATCTCATACCTAAAGAAGCCCAAAGTTCAAAATATAATAGTAAAGTAAATATATTTCAGTGTGTCCATATGTGTTCAGCAATTTCACGTTGGACCTAAGCAACCATAGCACATATAGTAAAAATAATCTTTCTTGGGCGTGCCTTTGCATGAATGCATGCTTCTGCTCTAGTCTTTTAAATAGGCAGGCCTATCATTTAAAACTCTCTTGTATATGCAGAAATAATTTGATAAAGAAGAGTATATGGCCAATGAAGTTGAAATACAAAAGTGATCTTATGAGACATCTGGGCAACAGGAATAAATATCAGTAAAGCTGGCATAAAAATGTTAGTAGCAGACTGTGAGTCAACTAAAAAACTTTTGTAGCAGAAAGAAGACAAGCCAAGGTATAAGAACTCGAGAAAAATTAAATACTTGAAATAACTTAGTTTGATAACAAAATATAATAATATGATTTTTAAGTGGGCATTACATTTGCAATGAAAAAAAAAACCTATTTAAAAATGCATGTGCATCAAAAGTAAAAGAGAATAAATAATATTCTCATTAAACATTCACAAAACCAGACAAAAGTTCTAAAGTAAATAAAGAGTTGAGAAGAAAAATTTTATAACAATAAAAAATGGTAAAAAGTGCCACATACACAAAAGACAGTTTTAGATCTGTGATTTATAATACATAAACAATATTAGTACCTGAAGTAGAATGCAAAGTTAACACACAAAAGAGTAATAGAATAATAATAAAAGAAAACTTTTCAAATGTAAACAAATAAGTAAGAGAAATATATAGCATCACATAGTCTGATTAAATGCTTAAATTTCAAAGATAAAAAGGAAGAAAATAGTTACATATTCTCTACATAGTAGTTATTGGTATAAGTATTTTATATTTTTAATTAAAAAAATTGAAAGTTTTGTAAGCTTCCAATGAAAAAGTGAATGAACTGCATTCATGAAGCAAAATGTCCATAAAAACAGGACATTCTCTGATTTGTTTTATGCAATAATAGAAATGAAAGCAAAATAATATCAACCGCATAATTCTCAGTCAACAATAAGATCTAAGAAATTTGTACTTCACCAAATTCTATCGTATGTGAAGCCAAGGACACAATCAAATAATTTAGTCTGATGGTTTCAAATTTTTCACATAATTTGAAAGAGTAAGATGCCCTTCCTTCCTCCCTCCCTCCCTCCCTCCTTCCTTTTCTTCCTTCCTTCCTTCCTATTTCCTTTCTTTTAATGTGATAGCACATGAGATTTCAATTGGAAGAAAATTAGTAGTAAAATAATAAGAAAACCAATAGTATAGAATATTTTATAGATCATAGAAGGCTGAAATTATTTAATAAGGAAGTTTGCATCAAAAATAAGACTTCAGGATAAATATGGTAGAAATGTATAGATTAGATAATCATTTTTGCAATTAATATCAAACAAAATTTAGAAAGCGATCCCAGCAATGAGAAGGGAGACATTAACTTTATCTTTGATTTGTATAAATTTTGAAGGAGAAAAAGCAAAAGAATACAATAACAAAATATTTTGCCACATGTGAAAAATGACATGAATGGGGCCATTTTAAAGTGCAGCAAGGACATCCCCTCTAGAAGAATTATATTTCTTGTCTTGTTCCTTGTACTTTTGGACTGGGCCAGATCTTTGAACTGGTCCAAACCTTGGAACTGGGATACACTACAATTCTTTTACAAGCAATTGTGTATAGAAAGTCAGAATAAAAATAGATATCCTGAGACATAGACTGATGATTATGGACTTTATACAGGAAGACAGAATCAGTCACCAATCATGTATAGCCAAGAGTAGCTTAGTTTGTCAGCAAAGGATTTTTTTTTTCCCACATAATTCATTCTTTCCTTTTTCTCAAAACCAAAGCAACAAACGAAGCCATTGTTTTCACCCTGTAATTGGAATATTATTTAGGTTTCTGCTCAAATTACAATTCTTTGATCCCAAATAAATACTTGTCGCCTCTCATTTTGGCTTTTTAACTTTAGGTTGATACACATTTTTAAGAGTAAGATTTTCTTTTGGAACACATTTTAATGCAAAAACAATAAGTTTAATTTTGTTCAGTAATAAAACAATTATTTTAATAAGATTTAAATAAATATATTGCAGATTAATGAGTTTTTGGTTTTTTTTTAACAAACAGCCTGAGGACTGTGCTAACTTGGTACCGCTTCTGATGGTTGCTCACAGTCACTGTGCCACTCACATAGAAACTGGACCTCTCAAGGTATTTACCATTCAGAGACTTTCAGAGACTTTGAGGAGCATTGAATCAGCAGTGGACATTTTGAAGATAGTTGACTTTTATTTAGATAAAATTTGAATAACTTTGTATCATTAATGAATGCCTATGCTCATCCTTGGGAGATATTCCAGAAAAAGGAGCGGGCCTCTTCAGTGTGAATTCCACTGATTTTATCTTTAAGAAAGGTCAGCCTAACTATCCCATGGATAACATCCTCTAGAAGAATATTCTATAGAATAGCTTTTATAGTGTTTAATTTAACAAATACTATCTAGGGTGAAAAAACATACATTTCAGTTTCAGTTTCACTTATTTCTATTTTTAATTGAATTTAATGGGTTTCCATGAATAAAATCTTGATTTATAACATTGTATGTACTGTGAGTAAATGTTAAACTTACTATTGCGTACTTAATCTAGGCGCTGATTAACTGGAGCGGTCCTTACAGTGGTCAAGTGATCATTTTTATTTTACTTTACATAATTACTATTGATATTAGAAACATGTTTACTTTTTATACTTTATCAAAGCACCAGAGTAAACAGAATCCATGTTCAAAAAATACAAAATACAAGAGCGATCACACACACACAACTATACATACACACAAATATATTACACATGAAATGGGAAAACACTCATGGAAGTGGACAACAGTGCAATGATTTTTGGGGAGAGGATGGAATAGTTGTAGGTGGAGAAGGATAAATGGGGTATGAGTGGTGATAGAAAGAGGCTTAGGGTGATGAATACACACTATAGTGTATAGGTGATGAGTTGTGGAATTGTGCATCTGAAACCTGCATAATTTTGTTAACCAGTGTCACCCTGATAAACTCAATAAAATGAAAAAAGGACATTAAAAAATAAAAGTAAAAAAAGAGAAACGGGGCATTAGGTAATATGTAATAAATAATAATAACAGTTTCATAATAATAAGTCAGCAGTCTGCATATGCTAAGTACAAAGATAATCTTGGGTTTATGTGAAATTAGCAACCATGTGTGCTTACTAAACAGACATACCTCAAAGAAAATAACACAACACATATTAAAATAAATAAAAGGACAAAAAGATAGCATCAATGAACAAAGAAAATAAAGTTGTGGCAGTATTAATTATAAAGCAGAATACATTAATAATTTAAAGACAAGTGATAAAATGTGATAGAAATAATAGATATTATTTTCTAGTAAATAATTATGTACCAAAATATACATGGTTAATTTTTCAGTGAATTAAGTTATTTTGACAGACGCACAATTGTTCACTGATTTTTACCTTAACCTCTCACAAATGAGACTGAAATAGAGAAAAGAAGTAAAGTGTTTGTTGTTTTCTACCTACTATGCAGGTTCAATCAGCGTTTTGCAAATTGAACTGATAATGGCTAAAAGTTCTCAAATGACCAACCAATTATATATATATATCATATAATCATAAATAACAAAAGTAATAAAAATTCATCTTCTAAGAATTTAAAAGAGATTTCATAATAATAATTGGTTCAAAAATGTAGTGATGGGTTCATTTGGTTTTATTAATCTCCATAAATACATTTTGTATTTGTTTTTAAGCTTTTAAAAGATAAGTATAGCAGTAAGAGAGCTGAATATCTACATGAAATATAATATAAATAAGAACTATTTATAAATCATTTATATGGTGAATATTTAAGAAAATGAATAAGAACTCAACTTTGGGAGGAAAGAAAGATATGAAACAAATATAAAATAAGTGATGATTAAATTCAGAAGACCAGCATGGGATTGATATGAATACATGGTATTTGGAAATATATAAGCAATATTTTCTTAGAATTATCGATTTCAAATTTGTAATTACATATTTAAGATGAAAACTTACTTAAAAACTTAGTACCTTCAGAGTGCATTACTAGAGGTATGTTTAGAAGCTTTTCTAAATACATCCCAAGTTAATTGTAGATAAATAAACACTGACCTGCAGCAAAAAATGTGTCCAGAGTCATCAACCCAAATCCCTCCATTAAGACAGAGATACAAACTCAGTTCAGGCTCAGCACAACTGCCAGTGTTTATCTCACAGTGCACACCAGTCTATCCTATTGGACAAATGCAAGTAAAGCTGTGGTCTGACTTCTGACAGGAACCTTCATTCATACAAGGGATTGATGTGCAGCCCTAAATTAAGACATGGAGAATCAAATTTGATTATTAGTGGTAAGTCTAATAATTTTACTAAACTTTATTGTATTTAAACATTTAAAAAAATATGCAAGCTTATCTCATATTCCCTTCCTCTAGTAACTAAAATATGTTTCTAGTAATAAATTATATTTACCTTTATCACCAGGAATACTCTGTCAAACGTTTTATTGTTGAATTTTGAGGAAAAATTCTTTATTAAACTTTATTATATACCATTTACAAAAGTAATATTCATATTATAACTGAAAGTTTGTGGCATTTACCAGCTTCTTATTTTTTTCCCAACACTATTGCACCTGGCAACCATCATTCTACCTCTGTTTCTATAAGTTTAACTTTTTTTTCCCCTTTAATATTCCACATATGAGAGATACGATGCAGGATTTGTCTTTCAATCTGTCTTATTTCACTTAGCATAATGTCTTCCAGGTTTATCAATGTTGTCACAAATGGTAGAATTTCTTTCTTTTTTTCAAGACTGAATAATACTTTATTGTACATGTATATAATGCATTTTCTTTATTCAATCATCTGTCCATAGATACTTGGGTTATTTCTATACCTTGGCTGTTGTGAATATTGCTGCAATAAACCTGGGACTACAGATATCTCTTTGAGATAGTAGTTTCATTGTCTTTGGATATATACCCAGAAGTGTGATTTCCAGGTCATATGATAGTTATGTTTTTAATTTCTTGAATAGAGGAACATCTATACTTGTTTTAATACTGGCTATACCAGCTTGCATTTCCTTCAAAAGTATATAGGTGTTCCCTTTTTTCTACATCCTTGCTATCGTTTCTTTTTTTGTTTTGTTTTATAGATTTTATATATTTATTTTTGTAGAGAGGAGAAGGGAGAGAGAAAGAGAGGGAGAAAAATATCAATGTGTGGTTGCCTCTTGTGTGCCCTCTACTGGGGATCTGGTCCACAACCCAGGCTTGTCCCTGACTGGGAATGGAACCAGTGACCCTTTGCTTTGCAGTCCGGTGGTCAGTCCACTGAGCCACACCAGCCAAGGTGCTACCATTTCTTATTTCTTGAATTTTTGATAAGAGACATCTTAATAACTGTGAGGTAATATATCATTGTGTTTTTGATCTGCCTTTCCCCGATGATTAATGACATTAAGTACCTTTCATATACCAATTGCCAATTGTATGGCTTCTTTGGAGAAATGTCTATTCAAATCCTATGCCTATTTATTAGTTGGGTTATTTGGGGTTTTGCCATTGTGTTTCACAGGTTTCTTATATATTTTGTATTTTAACCCCTTACCAGATAGGTGGCATGCAAACATTTTCTTTCATTTTAGAAGTTGCCTTTACATTTTGTTGATGGTTTCCTTTGCTGTGCAGAAGCTTTTTACTTTGATATGTCTCTCATTTATTTTTTGCATTCATATCATGCATCAAATGAAACATTAAAGGTTTGTCAAATTCACAGGAGACTTTAATTATTGTCATTTTTAATGGATTGTACCCTTGAGTATAAAGCCCAGGTTATGCTTGGAACCAAGATAGTGATATTTTACATTAATCCAAGTGATAGAGTTAAATGTATGTTTTTATAATTTAACGCCATTCTGATATATTCTCTACCTTTGCTGAAAATGTGAAGTCCTTAAGTATAACCAAGGGCATTTAGTAGACTTTGTACAGGTACTGCAGTTATTTTTATGGAATGCAAATGCAAAATTCCACAGGGAATGGCCTGGAAACATGTTTCTCTCTTATCCCTATGGCTGGGTATATATAGATTGATTTATTAGAAAGCATTACATAAACTAATTGAATTATATGTCCTATGAGAAAAAAAAGAAATAGTTTTTAGACTGCCAAAAGTTCTATCTCTAGGGTTTACAAGAATCTTTTACTAAAGTAATTAGAAGGCTTAATGGGAAATACGAAAACAATTTATTTTAAAAAAGTGTCAAAGTTCTTGATCTTTTCTGGTTCAAAAATTAAAAAGAATGTCTTTCCTTTTGTTCATGATCATTTGTATTACTTTACTACACCATATTTAATATAATAAAGTGCTTCCCAAGAAGAATTCACTAATTTACTTTCAGAAAATGAAAGAAATGAAAAGTTGGTATGTTTAGAGAACAAGAAGGAGGCTGGGAGTAATGCTGCAGACCATGGGAATCTAGGCAATGGAGCTAGACCCCGATGTTATGTTTATTTAACTCGTATTCAAAATGCCATGATGGGAAATGCACAGGAGCACGAGAGTAAAAGAGCAGTGAGTACTTACTGTGGACTGCTTAGCCAGAACAAACAACCAGATTGGCTAGTAAATGTGTCAGTTATCTTTCTGACAGCTGTCTTCTATTTGAGGTGTATAGTTTAGTTACAAAAGTTCATCCTGTGATCTCTGAGTTTCCCAGCATAGTAGAAATTTATTCTCTGATTTCATCTTTATCATAAAACATAGAATCATATGGGGTTATTTTTAGCACTACTGTTTTTAAAGTAGTGGAGTACTTTCTTCAAATATGATCCTGGAAAAATAAAATATGTTAAACAGATAATCATAGATCTGATCTATTTGAAGAGGGAAATAGGGCAGGTACCCACTAAAGCCTGACTTATCCACTGCAGAAACTTATTAAGTATCACAGAATTTCTCAAATTTTGCCTGGTTCTGAATAAAAACTACTGCTATAGTCTATTGTATATAAAATATAAGTTGTATATTAATACTTAAATTTGTTAAATTGCAGATTCAAATTCAATAAGAGGTTTTGTGTGGGGCCGGTGTTTCTCTATTTCTAACCAATCCCCTCATGCTTCTAGTGCATGGACCAAACATTGAATAGCAAGAATGTAGTCCAATAGTTTCCGCTTACTCACAAGGATGAGGACAAGCCCAAGGGTGCTAGAATGAATTACCAAAGCTTGAAGCAAGATGACAACAGAATAAAATCACATACCCTGACACTAAATGCCCTGAATTCCAACTTGGGCCTCATTGTACCAAAAAGTCTTACTTTCTCTCTCAAAAAAAATTTTTGTCTACAGAATTGTACAAAATATAATGTACATGATAAAGACTTAATATTCCAAAGATTTACTTACAATATAATTTTCATTTGTTATTGTATTCTTTCTCAAATCTCACATGATTAAATATAAGAATGAAGTAGTTAATAGAAAATGTTGATAACCAATTTACTCTGATTTATGATGTTTTGATGTAAAGGAAGTAACTCTGTTATTAAAAAATCAAATAGGATTCTAAAATATCAAAATGAGAATATTTGCAGTAAATATCAATCTTTAATTTTTTTTAATTAAAATGTATATGGCATTATCTCTGGGAAAGAAGGCCACTGAAACACAAGAAAACAAAATCATTGTCTCAGAAATAGCCTGAAATACACAGATGAATCAAACAGTAAAGAAAATACATCAGGACTGAAACTTGAGACAATGCCAAATACATGAAACAAACATGAAGATTTTAAAGGTAATATAGAATTCCAAACACATTAAAAAATACTCCTATTTCCTTAGGTAAAAGAATATTTCAGAAATCTAAAGTTTATATTCAATATCTAACTTGGCGAAATGAGGTGCCAAACAAGGACAGACAATCCAAAAGACTGAGAAAATTTTGCTAAGGACTCTGTAGCTTTGTAAGGGACATGGGTTGGTGGCAGTATTCAAAGGAGCCTCGCCCCCACCTGTGTTGCTCTCCTCACTGAGGTTTGAGCTTACTCCTGCATGAATAGAAAAATAAATCTGCTCCTAACTTGGAGATTCAAGATTTATGGGCCAGAGCAAATAAAGAAATAGATAGAGAAAAATAGGAAAAATATGTAAGAAAAGATTCCTAATAAATACACAAATATGGTGGGAATAGACTGTGAGGCCAAAGAGGAAACACACACATACAAACACACAAATGAGCAAGAGTATTTATTCATGGTTATTTCTAAATGAAACAGAGTATGATTAACTCAATTTTCTGCATCTAAAGTACATACATAATTTTTTAAGAGCAATACACTTAAAATATCTTCAATCTCCTTCAAGAGGATACTGCTTAAAGAAATATAGTACCTCATGCCATGTAATATTAACAAGAATAAGATAGAATGATACATGTTAATGTAGAATAATCTGTAATGACAAATTAAATTAAAAAAAATCAAGGTCCTCTACATGTGTGATAAATATCCCCACTTATGAGATCTCCTTTATTTTAGAGATGTGTTTTCAACCAAAGAAGGTAGATATTCGGTACAATGAGTTGTGGGAAATAGCGGACCATTTGCTGGGGGATTGCAACTTAAATCTTACCTGGGAAAGCATACTGATGAATCCATCTTTTTTTACAAATTAAAAGACAGTGAGAAAAATAGTAGAACTTTTTGACTAAACCATATGTTTTGAACTTGTCACAAATGAAAGAACCTTTAGAGGAAATCTCAGTAAATTTGGACACATTTACCTTTTGAATGTCAGAATATTGATTAACATGAACAAAAATAGGAAAGCATATATAATGTATATGATAGACAAAAAGTAAATAATCTTAATATATAAAAAGCACTTTATAAATGTCAGCTCACATTTGAGGAAATACAAATGCATGTACACTCATTTTTTTTTCTTTAATCTTTTCCTTTCTGTTTAGAGAACTTCCTTTAGTTCTTCTTTTAGATTAGATATGCTGGTGATAAATTCTTACTTTTCCTTCACTTTATAATGTTTTGATTGCTTCCTTTATTCTGTAATCATGTTTTATTTTATCATGTTATATATTTATACATTGATATAGCAAAGAAAGCACTGCTCCCTTGCAGCAGTTTTCCTCAGTCTCAACACAATAAAGGGAAATGTTTGCTATCTATATCACCCTGCTCTCTTTTCTTTTATCACTCTTTCCCTCTGTGTGTGTTCCCAGAACTGAGGTAATTACATTTTGCAAAACCACAGCATCAGTACCATACCCAATCATGAGTTTTTCTTCACTTTTGATTCTAAATTTTAAAGTTTACCTCAAATTTTTAGATTGACAGAAAAAAGTTTGCTTGTATTTTTCTTCCTCCAGATGTAACATAAACTTTGTTTTTTACTCTTCAAGAAGCTTCAGGTATAATACCCTGCCCCATAACGACCTGAGTGTTCTTTTCAATCAACACTGTCCATGTTTCTCCACTGCTCTTTTCTCTGTAGCCTGGAAAGAGAGGCTTGGACATTAATCCAAGAATGCCCTTTGGAGGCTGTTATCTGTGCATTGCAACACAGAGCTACAATAAATAGGTCAGTTACATAAGATACATATCTCTATCTCCAACTAAAACTGATTGTCAGGAAGTATGTTGAAAATTCTTGTATCTTGGTTTCCCATAGATATTGAATATTGAATGTTTGCAGAACAAATAACCACAATTACATTTAGAGTACACTTAGTGTATTAGTAAACAAAATTCTTAGGAACTCTATTGAACTATAATAATCAATATAGGTGGAAAAATGAGTTTTAAATGGCAGAGAAACAGAATAGATATTTCTAATACTAGGTATAGGAACTAAGAACATAAAATATGAGACATTTCAAATCAGTAAAGAGATAACAGATTTTTTAGATGAAATTTTGATAATAGTTCCTGGGCAAATCAATTATGCTTTTGAAAAAATTAATCAAATTCCTGTCTTCTTTCATTACAATAATATATTCACTATGAGTTAAGGTATTAAAGGTATTGTCAAGCCTAAAATTGTAGTAGATGAGAATGTAAGCCAATGATCTAAACAGTGCTGTATGAAAGCACTACCTAAGGAGGGATGAAAACCCAGTCATTAAGAAAGTTAAAAAAAAAAACCCTAAAAATTTTATAGTTTACTAGTTTTATAAAGGAAGAGCAGACAAGTTCTTGATAAGATTTGCAATTTTGCAGAATTTAGTGGATTTTATTAATAATTTTAAATAATATGTACAAACCAAAGAAAAAAGGCAAGTCCAGAGAAAAATACTATTAATCTAAGAATATGCATAGGCAAGACACAAAGAAAGACATAAAAATGGCAAATAATCATATGGAAAGGTATTGAATCTCCATAGTAACCTAGGAAAATGTAAATTAAAATGACATGCTATATTTTCCTCATCAAATTAGTCAATGCTTAAAAAAAGTTTATTAAATTCATAAGATCTAGGAAAGGTGGTATGGTTACACACTCATTAAATAAGTGTAGTTCTTTGGAAATCCCTTTATTTGGAATTCTTTTTACCTATTAATAAGAATCTGTCAGGACTCTATCAATTTTAATGGACTGTTCCTAAGATATACTAAGTAAAACAAAAAGTCACTGAATAAGGAGGGTGATCAGTTCATTTTCATATACATAAAAGATATTAGAAAAAAATCTAGGCAATTTTAACAGTTGTCCTTATAACATTGCATGTGAGTATGAATATATACAAATTCATTTATATAAAAACATAATTATTTAGCCCTGATCATGTAGCTCAGTAGGTAAGAACGTCATCTCTATATGTCAAGTTTGATCCTGGTTTGATCCTGGATCAGGGTACATAAGAGAATCAACCCATGAATATATAAATAAGTGGACAACAAATTGATATTTCCATCTTTATCTCTTCTTCTCTCTCAAAATCAATACATAAAATTTTTAATGTATACATTTATTTATTTAGATATTTCATTCAGAAAAAGAATGCTACATTTATGCTGCCAAGAGATAGTTTTTAGAGGTTATCACAGGCAGCATATGCAACAGAGCAAACAAGATATGCTTCATCTACCAGGAAATTTGTTAATTAAAATATTTGTTTTTCCATATCATATATGACTTTCACTATCTAGAACCAAATCAGCATCAAATCAACAAATAATTAAGCTTTAAAAAATAATGTGTCAGAGAAATGTGCTAATTTATTTATATGCATTACCTAATTTAACCCCAACAACCTAAGAGGTTGTTACTATGATTATCTTCATCGGATAACTAAAACATGACTTTAAATATAAGGGCATAATTTGTTCAGAAACATACAGCAGGTAAGTAGCAAAATAGAGGTCAGTCCTCATTCTCCTTAACGCATTTAACTACGTCATCACTCCCATCATTTACTGAGTATCTACCACGTCTTATATGCATCACCATACAATGACACTGTGAGGTACGAACTATATTTTACTGATGCAAGAGAGAGACAGAAGGATTTAAATAAAATATCTATAGTCTCACAATGATAAAGGCTGTTTTTAGTCCCTATGCTGCCTTCCTTTAGCATGTCACTGTCAGCCAGGGAGCATTTGGAAGAACTCCCCATTATGCAGGAGAGCTTGTGAAGTTCTCGTTCACCAAGAAAAGTCTCAAACTTCAGGTAACCAACATTTCTCAACAGATGAGGCATTCCACATAAAACACCATATGTCTATTATATCACATTGGACTCCTGAAAATTGGAAGACAGATCCTGAGAGTATTTATAGGTGGGCTACATGTACCCACCTCTTCACACATCTATCTAGTATGTATTTTCTCCTGTGGTGTCTGGATCATTATTTCCCTTCATCCCTGTGCATTCACAGACTCTTGTGTATTCTAAGACAAGAGAGGGGGAAGCAGGTGGCAAGTCATAAGCCTTGTGAGGTCCTTTTTTCAAAGACCGTATTCAGGATTTAGTGTAATGAGGGCTCTAGGTTGCAGAAGTTTATGATAACAAGAAAGAGAGTGGACAAAGGCAAAAAGCGGCTGTGATTTTTGTTTGGAGTGGCAGAAAAATTCCAAAACAAAATGGTGAGGGACAGGGTAGTTAAATAATTAATAATTAAAGAAGTAACTCTGAAACCTACAGCAAGTCCAGAGTCTGGCACAAGTAACACCCTTTTTATTACAAAATCTTTTATTACAAAATCATAAGCATGTAATTTGGTAACATAAGATCACACTCAAGCACACCATATGACATTTTAGGTGAAATATTCAAAATAAAACTATATATTATTACACCCATATTAGTACCTTACCAACCACACTCAAGCTGGTGTTACTTTCTGCCAGACCCTGTAGTTTTTTTTTAATTACTTCACATTTAATCAAAATATCAAAACTATAAAACTTACATTACTCTTGATATCACACCTTGAGCAAGTGCATTCTGTATCATGGAACATTGATACACAGTAATGAGATCTGAGCATCTGAAACATAGAATCATATTGTAAGACATTAAAGCATAAATTAAAAAGATATTAAAACATAAAGCATAAATAGACTTTATTTAGAATGGCTCTTTTCTAGTTCAGCTTAAAAAAAAGACACACATTCCCATGAATAACAGACTAGTCTGCCTTCAAGGTTAATGGACAGAAAGAACAAATCAATTTTTATTTTTGCCATCTTATCCATGGCAATGAAAAGAAGGAAGATTTCTAAAAGGTCTACAGAACGCTTAGGGCTTATGTAGGAAACTGAAGTCAGCTATGGCCAAACTCCATTGCAATGAGTTACCTTCTTCCTCTTTTCTTCCCTTCTTACACAGTCAGTGGCAGGACTAGGGAAAAAGTAATTAATGCTCTGAAGGTGGCTTGGTGCATCTGAGAGCCATTATTCTTTGCCAGTTTCATCTTCTAGAAATACCCCTGCTCTATATTTGCATAAACAAATTTTCTACCCATGAGCAGAAGAGTTATTATAAATTCCACAAAGAGAGCCACAAAATTCCTTACATTTACATAGGGATGAAAAAAATAGTTTATTTAGGAACATTTTAAATTAATGTGTGGTGTTATCCTTCCACAGAGCAAATAATAAAATGTCTCCTCATCCTACCTGCTACTTTTACTGCTTTGAGCAGTTACCTTTAAGTATATGAATTTCCAATTAATACACATTTATTGAAATTACTTAATGCTAATGAGTATAAATAAAATCAGAGAAAATGTATCAGTAGATTACATTAAATAGAATAGACAGCATCTGTCATCTTAACTATATTTAGTTCTAGTTTTATGCAAGAGCACATTTAAAATTAACTTTACTTGCCCTTGACACTGTCTTAAATATTGAGTTAAATTTACTTTCTTAGATTTAATAATAGAAAATAAAAATAGCCACCTTCCATGTAGACAAGGATTAGATTGGCAATTGTTTGCATTTGTTTCACAGTGTGTTTAAAAAAGCTGCTCTTGCAGTCACAGATATAATGATTGACAAGATCAATACAAGATCCATTGTGGAGACAGGGCTTTGATACACATTCATCTGTATTTACTTCACAGCTGATGCCTATATTAGAAGAGACAAGACAAGACAAAACATGAGACTATTTAAATGCAAGACACGAAAGCTTGTTCATGATGGTGAACATCACGGAGAAATCAAGACTCCTTTCTCATAAAGACAATTTGACACCCTGTAGCAAAAAACAAACAAAAAATTTTTTTTAAGATTAAACATGTTTAGGTATGAATTCTCAGGCAACTAATTTAATGTGAATGAAGAATACAAAGCACAAGCTTAATCTACTAAAAAACTTGTTTTTAGTGTGAAGGATTGTTTATTGAAAATATTAGTGAAGTAACGAATTATATCAACTTCTCACTATAAATTAATTCATAATTTTTCTAATGATGCTTGAGAGTCAATAATTTATTACCTACAAGAATTAAGAGTTTGAATTTTTCTAAATTTGGTCTTGGTGAGTCTACTAATGAGCTACCTGAGATTGCTAAATGTAATCTAACTTTGGCTAAATAACTAGTGTTTTCAAAGGCCAACTTTTGAATATTTATTAAGCATGCAACATGTACCATCTTTGTGTTCGACTAAAAGTACAAAAAGGAAAAAGGAGCAACCTTGTTAATCTAGATACATATATACATGTCAGGAAGACAATATTTATAGATAGAAATCCTCTAGAGGAAAAACGTAATGGAAAGCATGGCTGTGTTTCAGGTTTCACATATTAGAGATATTAAGAAAAAGTAGAGAATCATTATAAAATGTTTAGAATAGCTCTGGCTGGTGGGGCTCAGTGGATTGGGTGCTGACCTGTGTACTAAGGGGTCACTGGTTTGATTCCCCGTCAGGGCACATGTCTGGGTTGCAGGCCAGATCCCCAGTAGGAGGCCCACCAGAGGCAACCACACATTGATGTTAGTTTCCCAGTCTTTTTCCCTCCCTTCCCTTCTTTCTAAAAATAAATACATAAAATCTTTAAAAAAATGCTTAGAATTCCCTTTGTTCCCTTTGTTCATTGTGCCTATTTGTATTGAGCATCTACAAACAAAAACTATCATTACTGGTGTGCTGGGCCATGTGCTAAAGGCTTTACATACATTATTTTAATTAATGGTCATCAAACATGGACACAGATATTAACTTTTAGCCCGCTCTACTGAGTATACAGGATTCAGAGAGTTTAAATCATGCTTCCAGATCACACAGGCCATTATAGCCAATCAGAATTCAAATCATGTTCTCCCTGACTTATGCTTCTAATCATAGTTTGAATGGACTATCTTGCAGCTACTATGATATGTTCATAAATTGTTATGCTGAGTAGTCTGATGTATACTATTAAAAACAAGACAACAGGCCCCAAATGGAGTCACTTATGCTAAGCCTCTTGTCATCAAACTGACACTTAATTATAGTTTTAGCTCTCCCAGAAATGAAGCCTTAAACAAATCAATCGGAAATAGCCTGATCAGCACTAGTTAGATAATCTGCCCGATAAGACAGATCCCATCCCCTAAAGGAAAGTACAGGCACACCTGAGAGGCATTGCAGGCTGGGTTCCAGACCACAGCAGTAAAGTGAGTATTGCAATAAAGTGAGTCACACAAATTTTCTGGTTCAGAGCATATATATTTTGCTCACATCTACTGTGGTTTATTAAGTGTGCAATAATAGCATTGTGTATAAAATATAACAATGTATATACATAATTAAAAATGCTGTATGCTAAAAAATGTTAGCCATCTGAGTCTTCAGCAAGTCATAATCTTTTTTGCTGGTGGAGGGTCTTGTCTCGATGTTGATGGCTGCTCGATAATCAGGGTGGTTGTTACTAAAGGTTGGGGTGGTTGTTACTAAAGGTTGGGGTGGTTGTAGCAATCTCTTAAACCAGAAAACAATGAAGTGTGCCACATCGATTGATTCTGTCTTTCCTGAATGATTTCTCTGTAGAATGTGATGAGGTTTGACAACCTTTAACTCACAGTAGAACGTCTTTCAAACTTGGAATCAATCCTCTCAAACCATGCTGTGATTTTATCAACTAAGTTTATGTAATATTCTAAATCTTATTGTTATTTAGAGTATCTTTATAGCAAATCACCAGGAATATATTTAATTTTAGGAAACAACTTTCTTTGCTCATCAACAAGAAGCAGCTCCTCATCCATTAGTGAGAATGCATCATCCTGATCATCAGATTGCAGTAATGCAGCCACTTCTGATTCTAGTTCTCTTGCTATTCCCACCACATCTGCAGTTACTTCCTCTACTTAAGTCTTAAACCCCTCAAAGTCACCCATGAGGGCTATGATCAACTTCCACCAGACTCCTGTTAATGTTGATATTTTACCCTTCCCATGTCTCACAAATGTTCTTAAAAACATCTAGAGTGGTGAATCCTTTCCAGAAGCATTTCAATATACTTTACCCAGATCTATCAGAGAAACCACAATGGCATCTAAAGCTTTACAAAAAGTATTTCTTTAATAATAAGATTTGAAAGTTGACATTACTCCAAATGGATGTGGTGTCAGAAAGCATCAAAACAACATTAATCTCACTGTACATCTCCATCAGAGCTCATGGGTGACCTGTTACATTGTCAATGAGTAGCAATATTTTAAAAGAACACTTTTTTCAGAGCAGTAGATCTCAACAGTGGGCTTACAATATTCAGTATACCATGTTGCAATCAAATATGCTATCATTCAGGTTTTGTTATTCCATTTGTAGAGCATAGGTAGAGTAGATTTATAACAACTTAAGGGCTCTAGGATTTTCAGAATGGTAAGTACACTTTAGCTTCAACTTAAAGGAACAAGCTGCATTAGCCCCTAACATAAAAGTCAGCCTGTCTTTTGAAACTAGGCACTGACTTTTCCTCTCTAGTTATGAAAGTCTTATATGGCATCATCTTGTAATAGAAACCTGAATTGTCTACTCTGAAACCCCCCCTTCATTATCTTAGATTTCTGGATAATATGCTGCAGCTTCTACATCAACTTCACCTTTCACTTTTATGTTCTGGATATGGCTTCTTTTTTTAAATCTCATAAACCAGCCTCTCCTAACTTCAAACTTTTCTCCTGTGGCTTCCTCCCTTCTCTCAGCCTTCATAGAATTGGAGCCAATTAATGCCTTGCCCTGGATTAGGTTTTGGTTTAAGGAAATGTTTTGGCTGGATTGATCTATCCAGACCACTACATTTTCCTCCATATTAGCAATAAAGTTGTTTGGCTTTCTTACCATTCATGTGTTTACTGAAGTAGCACTTTTAATTTCTTTTCAAAACAATTCCTTTGCATTCATAGCTTGGTTAATTGTTTGGTTCAAGAGTCCTAGCTTTTAGTCTACCTTTGTTATGACAGGCCTTTCTTACCTAATCATTTCTATCTAGCTTTTGACTTAAAGTGGGAGATGTGTGACTGTTCCTTTCACATGAACACTTAGAGGCCATTGCAGGGTTATTAGTTGGCCTAATTTCAGTATTGTTGTATCCCAGGAAATAGGAAGGTCCAAGGGGAGAGAGATCAGTGGCATGGTCAGAACACACACATTTATTAAGTTCATCATCTTACATGGGTGCAGTTCATGGTACTCCTAAACAATTACAATAGTAACATCAAAGATCACCTATCACAAATCACCATAAAAATATAATAATGGAAAAGTTTGGAATATTTCAAGAAGTACCAAAATGTGACATAGAGACATGAAGAGAGAAAATGTCACTTGAAAAATGGTACCAATAGGATATGTTCAACATAGGGTTGCCACAAAACTTTAATTTGGGGGGAAAAAAAGCAATATCTGTGAAGCACAATAAAACAAAAAACAAGGTATGTAGGTATGTCTCTAACTTAATGATAATCAACCTGCTTTTTTGCTTAGTATAATTTTTTATTCCCACTGTCTTCTTGCTAAGAAAGACATTCAGTTATAGAGCTCCCTCAGAGCTCCTGTCTATCTGCTGGATTGGAAGCTTCCCCATTCAAATAGTTTTTTGCTCAAATAAACTCATAATTTTTAATATGCCTCAGTTTACATTTTAACAGCTCCAATCAGAAAACTATATTCTTGTAGTCAAGAACATAGTGTTTGATTAGGAATAAAGATAAGTTTCTAAAAGAATACACTATTACGGTGTTTATAAAAATAGTTATATATCAGCTAGATGGAAATAACTATAAATTTATAAACAAATACACTTATTACCATGAAAAATAAAATAATAATAATAGCTGAAATTTGGAGACTGTATTATATGTCAAGTATACTGTAAAACATTTTATATAAATCAACTCATTTGAACTTTACAATAATACTCTGGCATGGAAATTATTTCCCCTATTTTAAGGAATAAAAAACAAAATGAAGCACAGGCTCACAGCTAATAAATAGCAGAGCCCACATTGTTAGTCATTGTCTGATACCACCATTATACATTTTAATGCTGTGACTATATGGTATATGTTCTAATGAGAGAGCAAACTGAGTGCATTGGCTGTTTAAGGAATAAAGAAATAAAGTCCATATGTGAGAGTATCATGAATATTTTAATGATCATAGAGGAAAGCAACTTGTGTAAATTTAGTAAGAGTTTGAAAGAGTGCACTGGCATTATATATTTGCTAGATGTCTTAGTATTTCTTTGAATATCAGGAAAAGAGTTAGGGGATGGTGGCATTGGCAGATCAGCAGCTATTTCACGATGTGATATCATAAATAAACTTTACTAATTTATACCACAGCAGAATTGTCTTTTCAAGTGAATGTCACTTAGAACAGTCATACTGGGAAAGACTGCAATTTATTACAAATGAAGCTTCCAATGTAAAAAAAAAAGAAAGAAGGAAAATTCTCTTTAAAGATTGTCAGTTTTCAAGTCAAATTCAATTATATACTGGCTACCATTTTTTTTTTACCATAACTGTTATTACCTATATAAAACTTTGCATGTTAGTAATATTATAAAAATAATGTTTGTAAATTGGTCAAATATGCACCCATACTTAAAAGGACCATCAAGATTTAGACATATGATA